CCCCTTTGTGATGTGAACAGATGCATACAACAGGCCAAGCTGAAGAAGCCAGTGTCGTCTGTTCCTGTCTATTTTGACTTTTATTGGAAAGACTGCGTCAGTGTCTGTTTGGAAAAGCCCATGGTTGTGCCAGCCCGGCCACCTGTGAACATGCACCCTCGAGGAGTGATGGACACACATGTGCACACATACGCGCACACTTCCTGTGAAATATAAGAAGAATCCAGAGGCGGGGCAGCAATATAGTAACCCGATGCCATGCTCACACTGTGCTCGTCCCTACAGTACTGTTTCAAGACTCCACACAGACCCTGCTTTGACAGCCAACTCAATTAGTTTAACACACACACACACACACACACACACACACACAGCTTATGAAACCCAGTGCAACTCAATCTGGCCCCACAGCGCCACTCAAAATGTGGCTTGACAAAAGAGCGGGAAATGCCGCATTCCTCCAGAGATGGGCTGGGTTACCGTAGAGATGGCCAGGTTATTATGGAACCTGATCCTCAAAGGGGGGTCCGAGGCCAAATAAGCATAGCCTAATGGTTATAATGGCGGGGGTAAGGGCACAGTAATGACACCGATGATGAAGGGAGGAAAGAGAAGAGGATGACTGAAGGACAAAGGGTGCGTGTCAAAAAGAAAACAGCTGTCGGTCAAGGTGGAACGAAGTGAAAAACTGTGTGTGTGCGTCAAAGGGTTTTAAAAACAGCATGTTGCCATTTGCTTGTCATATGCTGATACAGTCAACTATGATGCTCCGATCCTAGACAGACGACAACGCTACACGCACTCACGGCGAGCAACCTGAGACGCAAGAAAGCACAAAAATATGTTGAGTGAAGGTCAGCAGAGAAGAAAAAGGAGAAACTGAAAAATCCCAAACCAGGGAGGAAAGGACAGAGCGAGAGAGGAAAAACATCATTAGTCAGGATGCAAAGCTGCTTTTTTATGATGGTCTTTATTAAAACTAGAGTGGCGGAGGAGGCAGGAGCAGCCAAGCGTTGCCCCAGTAAATGAAAGGCGTTCCTGTGAGGGCCATTTCACCGCGATTTTTCATGGCTGATCATAAATAGCCATTGTTCTCCCACAGCTGTGTTTATTTAAAATCGGTGTCTGCACTTGTGTCTCTTCATTACGCTCGTGTGCAAACCTGCAGCTGGACCGTGGCCAGACTCCATTAAGCCGTATTACCATGTGATATTTCGGGATGCTCTGGGATGCGGTCGGGCTCGTGTGACTGCAGCTTGAGAACGGGGTTAATAAACGACACGTAAATGCAGGTCTTAGCGAAGAGCTTTAGTGCAACGTGATGGTGAATTTCACACATTTACAGACTGCTCAAAAGAATGTAAACTACTTATGGAATTAACTGTGAATTTTTAGCCATATTAGCAGCATGGCTCTAATGATGGCGGCACCGATTGTTCAAGACGGAAATATAAAAAACTATTAAATGGAATGGGATGAACAATACAGTATGTTAGGTATTGTTAATCAAATGACCCGTGAGCTATTTTGCCATCAGATTAACTAATTGTAAATAATTTTAATCCCAAATTGAGACAAAACATCCCAAGTTTTGTCTCAACATCAGTTCAGAAGCCCGTGACCAGGGCAGATCCCAAGATTTTTAGAGCCCACCGGCCAGAAAATGTGCTGGGGCCCCCCCACTGCCTCAAACCACCATCTGAATATGTACCCAACCACCAAGTTCTTATTAGTCCTTTAACAACACTTCCTGTGCTAAAATAAGATTAAGCCCTTCTGCCGAAGTGATTAAACTCACCTTCATTGGGGATTTTTAAAAACCTTTTAACCCTTTCTGATAAATTATTACATTAATTTTCTGTTTATTGACTAACAGATTAAGTGAATAGTTAATGCAGCACTTTTAGCTGCTCCCTTACTCCAAAGGGGTTGCAGCCGTGGATGGATCCCCATATTTTGACCTGACAAAGCCTGATGCAAAGCTCCAGGTCTGAGACCATCACAGAGTATGCTCCTATTCTTAAATCAGGGATCTTTTGCCTGTCAGTGATATTAGCATTAACCA